TCGGCTAGAAAAGACCCGTTTCAGCCTAAATTAAACATCTCCGTATTTGATAGATCTCTATACTTTTTGGGACAGCTGTATTACTTTTCAAATAGCTTATAAACCTTAAATCAAATAAAAGAAACAAAAAGCTTAACAAATTAAAGACTCCGGCAAAAGAAAAGATTTATTGCTCTTACGCGATTCTCTTACATGCTTTTCAACTTTACTTCAAATATTTTATATCGCAAAGCAAGCCGATGGGAGCTTTTAATGAATAACAAGTGACATTTGGTAGAATTTTCAGTAAAAGCCAACGTCTGGATGTATAGGAATACTGATTATAGCCACGATTAAATTTATTTTCTTAAATTGAATCGACATCGGTTTGGTGCCCATTTTATTCGCTAGAATAACTATACAATTAAATGGGGAAACAATTGTCTACTTGAAATGATATATAAGTGTTAACATTATAAACCTTTTAAAACGTTTTTAGGACGTTTTTTTTAAAAGAAAAAAACTTTACAACTTATCCAGACTCTATTCATGAATAAAGTTTGCTAAGTGGATGTTTCGTAAGCGGTAATTATATTAAGACCTACGTATACTTAGATGATGTCAGCAATGTCAAAATTGTATTGATGGTCGAAATTGATTTCAGACGTTAGATTGATATTTGATCTGCCGAAAAAACACCAACTGTTGAGTATGTTGGATAAATAAAGGGCTGGATGAGCTATATATAAATTGATCTCATAATTTTCGGCTGGGTCAATAAATGACCCTCGATTGCTCCGATAAATCGGACGTTATTTACAATTAGAGACTAACTGAAGAAAGACTTTAAAGAAAAAACCCGATAAAATTTCGTTCTCTTGTATACGAATATAAGTTTCCTGGAACCGTGTATATCTTCATTAACACCAGATTTGCTTGAACATGTACGGGCGTATCGTATCACGGACCAGGAACCGAGTGGGAGGTCATCTCGGCCATCTTGGAAGAGCGTCGCTATCAAGAACAACAATGGGAAATGCTAATTGTAGGCCGATTTGGGAATTTCAGGAGTCCACAATGGCCGCTTTATATAAATGAGTATTTTGGGGTATACTAACCCTGACCCTAATCCATATTAGAAGACTAAACTTGGATCCAATATACCTTTTACTCTTCATAAAAAGGGTTAGGGTTAGTATTCCTTAAAATACTCATTTATATAAAACGGCCATTGTGGTCTCCGGAAATTACCGTACCTCCCCAACCGGCCTACAATTAGCATCTCCTAACAACAATAAGATATATAGCACGTGGGCCGAGTTTCTGGTCCAAAACTCATAATAATTACTATTTGTATTTCTTTCTGGTGGATAAAATATTCCATACATTAAGATATCGATGATTTTGTGGTTTTCTTGTACATAGTGTGACTGAAGTGGGCCTTAAAGAAATCTTCAATTATGTATTATATTAAGTATCAACGTTACCATTTGTGGAACTGTTCGATGATCGAAAAGGAGCTAACAAGGGAAATCCTATTAGTTGGACGTCTTCATAGTACGCCTAATTCCAGTTTCAAAATATAAATACATATTGGAGTTTGCTTCTGTGCAGTTCGTCTACACCTTACGAGATAAACTATTTTACTGATTTAAAAATAATTTACTTATTTACTGATTCAACCAGCGGTTGCCAGGCAAAATACACCCACATTTTGCAAGAGCTAAAAAAAAATATGTGATTTTTTTTTTTGTACAATCAGGGGAAATAATCCAGGAAGTTACGGTCAGCTATGCACGAATATCGACAAGAACTGAGATCTGTCGGATACAAACATATATTTGAAGTTTCATCAAGACCGGAAAAAAACTGTGACTTCTAGAGGGTCCACAGCCTTAGTATTACATACTTTTAGACTATTTGCGTACAAGGAGCGGCCATTTTGTCCGGCAGTTTCGGTCGAATTTTTATGAAATTCGAATTCACCCATACACTGAAGTGTGACGGTGAAATATTTAAACGGTTTTTAAAATTGAATACAAATTGTGACTTCTAGAGTTTTTCGAACAATCAGGGGCCACAATCCAGGAAGTTCCGTTGCGATAGGCGCGATTATCGAAATGAACCGAAATCTTTATGATGTGAACAGATATTTTAAGTTTCCTCAAAATAGAATAAAAATTATGGCTTCTTGAGGGTCCACAACCTTGGTAATACATACTTTCAGACTATGTGCGTATAAAGACCGGTCATTTTGTCCGGTATTTTTGGTCCGATTTTCACGAAATTCGAATTCAACCATCATTATGGTGTAACGGTGATATATTTAAACGCTTTATAAAACTGTTAAAAATTGTGACCCCCAGAGGGACCACAAGCTAAAAGCGGGATTTTTCGTACAACCAGGGGCTATAATCCAGGAAGTTCTAGTCCGATATGAGCGAATATCGAATGGAATCGAGATCTTTGGGTTATAAACAAACATTTCAAGTTACATCAAAATCGAATAAACATTGCGACGTCTAAAGTGTCTACAAGCTAAATAAAACGGGATTGATTTTTTGGTATAATCGGGGGGCATAATCCATGAATTTGCGGTCCGATACATGCCAATTTCGAAAGGAACACCTATATTTCAAGTTTCGTTAAAATCGGATAAAAATTGAGTCAGGGCGTATAAAAATAGTTTACTAATTTACTGATTTATGATTCAAAAACAGTTCACGAATTTACTGATTCGACGTTGGTGGGTATACTAAGGCTGCTTAAGCCAAGGGGTGACATACTTCCGGTTCAGGGCCCTACCAGTACAACACCGGGTCAACTGTTAGTACATATTCCTGAAGCAACGACAAAGATGTACGGGTGTAATTTGCAAAGAAATTGGAACTAGATATACAAACATCAATGGCGTTCTCGTATTCTCAAGTAAAATGGCCGCAGCCAATTTGGGTTAATATCACGAGAGTGGTTTTTAATTAGAAAAAGTGAGCCTTTAATTGTATTTCTGAAGACGGTACTGGATAACCTTCCTGCACTTCATGCAAGCCTTATATTACTGTTTGGTATTCTCGTATTGAGTCTGTGTTTTGTATAATAACTCCTTAAACACTATACATAAATTGGCTGTTTCACTTTCATGAATACACTGACGTATCGTCTATGTCTCATGGGTTGAAGATAGCAATAGGATGGCTCAAATGGTAAAAGATTTAAAACTAATCCTTTAGAGGTATCTAGTAATTGGACAGAACAATAAACTATACTACATACTTATGGGAGCACAATTACTAAGTTATTTTGGCGACCTTTCGAAGAGTACACTCTCAACGGTATCAAGATAATACTCTTCAAAACGTCGCCCAAATAGTATCATCTCAACGTTTAAAGCAATCACAGTAACAAATGTGTAGGGCAAGAAATATAGACAGACAATAACAACAAATTTGTTGTCGTGCTTTCTTAAAAACTTTGAATACTTTTCGAAATGTCTTCCAAAAATATGAGAACAAGCGGTATAGTTGTTCCGAATGGCTAGCGTCAAAATGGGAATTTATGTATTTAAGGCTTCCCCAAGGCTCGTAATAATTGATGCACAGCCATGTTTCAAAATTCTAGTAGTTATTAATCCAGGCAAAGGTCCCAGGGGTCCTTATTATAATACGTATCATGTCCTTTTCATATCAAAATATTGTTTTTAAAAAGGATGTACATTAATCTATACCTATGATGTGCCTGACATTAAAAGAAAATAATAATAATGTTGTGTGGTTTTTGATTTTTTCAGTCTGTAAGTGTAAAAAACTTCCTTTAAGCTTAAACCAACTATCAGGTTAATATTCTCTTTAAGGACAATGCATTTATTTTCCGAATTTACCCTTTCAAAAATATGGGATTTCATTTAAAGATGAATTGCCATTTACACAAGAGAACAATATCTTCATATTCTCAATCTAAAGTCAGTAAACAAGAAAAAAACGAATAATACTCCTGATAACGAAAGAAACTACACATTTGCATTGTTTCATTTCAGTAACAATAATCGAGTATGTTCCAATTTTATCGTCTGGTATCTAACCCAACGGATTCAAAACTTTGTTGATACAATTAATTAAAACGTTCAGAGGGCATTGGAGAGACCAAATGGCATTTAATCAAAAATCCCCATGGGAGAATATCCTAAGATTTAAATTTTAGGAAGCGGAAAACAGATTTGTAGGTGTTTTAAACGTATAATATTCTACTCAATATTGTAGAACATAGTCCTATGATTGCTTCTGGAACAATTTAATATACATTTTTATATACGTAGTGTAGACGAGCGAAAACGCCGCTGGGCGTACCAAAATCTAACCTTGTATTGCTCACACAAATATACATTACCATACACATGTATGTCTGTCTCAAAATGATTGTGTTGATGAAACCTTGAAAGACATTTCATTCCAAAAATGAAGGGACGTTTTCTTTTTTTAATTAAGATAATCAAAATGTATGGCTTAATCGTGTTTCTAGGTATATGACGTCATGGTTTTATTTCTAAATCTACAATTATCTATTATATTTAACTATTGCTTCTTTATTTTTCAAATTAAGCCAACTCCTATTAAATAAATATGATTGTATATCATTCCATAAATTAGTTTATGGATTTCGAATACCACTTACGTAATTGGAATTACCGATGTTCGAAATATATATATATTACAACAAAGCCTAGATTTAGTCTGTATCTAATCAATCCAGAAAAACAGATTGATAATTTAAAACTATTCTAAAATCAGATTTAAATAAATAGATTGTCAAAACATTATTTTCTTTATAATTTATATGTTATCAGTTTAAATCTATTAAAAGTTTATGTAATCTCGATCTCCTATAATTTATCTTTAATTAAAAGTTTCGATAATCTCATCTATCCAGTTATTCTCCTATAAATTATCATAAAGTAATTCAAATATATTAAAAGTTTCTGTAATTTAATCTATTTAAAGTAAAAGAAAAATATAAATATAACTTACCTGTACATCTTCAAATATGGTGAAGAGTGATGACTGCGACGGCATGGTTGCCGTTCTTTTATCCGTCGTACTGTAGTCCAGGCCCCTTGAAGGTGAAGAATAAGGAGAATTATAAGCCATGCACGATGGTAACATGGTCTTCGACATTTTAGAAAATGTCTCTATTTCTTTCATAAGTGCAGAGTAAATAATCAACAATATATGAACTAAATTACCATAAAAATTTAAAATCCAGTTTTAGGCAAACATGTAGCTTAAATTGTTAGAAAACATTTTTCACAACGCAAAAAAAAAACCATTAATAAAAACAGGTGAAGTACACCAGAGGTGCACTCTATCTATAAACGTTAAAGAGGTTTGTGTTATCCACACCAATTAGTTAACTCTATAATCCACAATAGGGATAGATTGGATCTGATGATAAAACGTTTATCACTTTATAACCATGTATATGTTTTAAAAGAATCGGCCACAAAATAATCCAGCACGTGACATCACGATTCCACAATTGATTTGTGTTTAGAGCGGAAGGAAAGTAGACCTTCGACCAGTACCTTCTCTTAAACTAAACTGCTACTGACGACTTATACCCTTAACACAATAAACAATGACTTGATTTCCTTTGAATAATACGAAAGTATAATACTAATAATTCATTGTCGTAATAAAAGCAAAGGTGTCATGTTAATAGGCTGTTGGATGAAAGTCGAAAGCCGTCTAAATCGCTACATTACTGATATCCGATGAAATGGGAGGGAATCTAATGGTAAACAATAAAATGGTGAAGGATTCCATTGATAAAAACTGCTATACTAGATAGACGAACGTCTATCGGGGAATTACATGTCAATTCGTAGTGTTACAACAGAGCGGTAATGAGGTTCTCACGTCTCTTTGTCGGTAAACGACATGTAATCGCGCAAAAATACAAATGGAGGAGTTTACTTGATGGACGTCATATTACGAGAAGTCAGTGCAGAAAACGTCATTAAACGTCAAATTTTATTAAGAATTAGATTCTTCAGTAACAAAAACTTCTAAAAGATAAATGGAAAGATTGAAAAAAATCAATCTTTTACGGACATTAAAGAATATTTTCGCTTGCTATGGAAAGGAAGTGTATTTGTTATTGCTTGATTTAACTGTAGCAACACAAGCAAGGGATTTTTGTCAGATGAGCGGGTTGGTTCAAGTTGACAGCTTTATTTAAAGCTTCGATGGTTTAGACACTGATCGTGTCAATGATTTGAGATACGGCGATGACTTGAAAACAAACACGAAGATTTTAGGATCCAATCGCCCTAACAAGATCAATAGCAAATTCAACATTAATTGGTCATCAGCTTCAGCCTATTTACAACGAATAGAAATTAACCCTTGTATTAAGTGCGGGATTGATTAAAACGTTTTGATTCAACATTTGTCTAATACAGTTAAAAGTAAATTTATATGAAAATCCCGATAAGCGCTAATAAAAACTTTATTTTACAGATCGATTAAATACATCGAGGGGAGATTAATTGGTGATATGGACCCGAATTTGCGAGAGTAATGAACTAGCTTTTGATGCCTGTAACGTAATCAGTGCACATTAAATGCAATTAGACTAAATTACGGTTTCGATATTCATTCGCCCTCCCCCCCATTAGCCCAGTCGGTGCAGAAAAGTAGGGCGTTAATACCCATTTACTTTCATTTCAGTATACTTAGCTTCTTAACAACTCCATTTCCAGCTTTAGATAAGCCGTGAGCTTGTGATTTTTGATTTGAACGTATTTATAATGTGGAGAATTCTAGTTGGCTAGGGACATTATTAATACAGTCGATAGTAACGACAAACCAACTGTACGCACATTGAGCAACACAAGAGATATTCGACAAAACAAAAATTGTTATTCTTAATTCAGATATATGGCTGGTTATAACAAGAATTATAACGATAAAATGCCCATGGTTAGAGACGCCGGAATTCATTCTATATTCCAATTGTCTATGAGCCAAAGATGAAATACTAGAATATTGGTGCAATTTTATAAAACTAATTACATCTGGAAAGCATAGTCTCAATCGTTGGTATAAATTGTGCGAATATATCGAACTATTGTTATCGATGAGAAACATAAATCGAATCATCGCAACCCACACTATACAGATAAGATTTAATCAAAACCAATAATTATAGGGGATTTGTACACAATGGCAATAACGCCGTCTCGCTACTCAACCATCATATACATTATAAAACCAGTCATTTACAATCAGCTTCCAATATCACAGATCTTAAACAACATTTCACTATTTAGGATTTAAACTAGAAAACGGTGGGTCATTTCGCCCCATCTCATTAGAGGCAATCTGAAGTTATCGAACATTGTGATATTTTGCATGCGTCGTGTAAATTCAAGTAGGTTGTTATAGGAATTAAAAAGTTGCTGGCCATCTTAAATCCGTTGCAGGCAATCAGACCTTTGAACAAAAAAAAGTAATACGTAATTCCACATATTTTGTAATTGGCGTAATGATCTCGGCAAGACAGCACTTAACCAACATCGGCGGATGTCAGGTCATTTCGCCCAGTTCCTACACATCTTGTTAATTCTGACAACCATGGCTTATCCGGATCTTCATGGCAATTAATCACAGGAATTCAAGCAAAAATGTAAATATAATTAAACGACATGCCCGGATAAATAGTTTTTTTATATTAGATAAGAATAAATGTTTTAAAGAGTTGGTTAAATATCTCTTAAGATCTAAATTCCAAATTCTAAACTTGAAATGCTATATTAGTGATTCATATAAACACCTGAGCAGTGATTTGGAATGGGACTGACTATAAAAGGCACGGATGATAATTTAAATTTAAACGTTATCTATATAAATAAAATCGAAGATGTATATATGTGTATGTTCGCCCATCACGCTTTGTGGTATCCAATTAACCAGAATTACCCCGTGAATCTTTTAGGACATCGAATTTGGGCCCCGGGCGAATATCGTTTCGTCGCCGCGCTCCACCCCACATATTATGTGGTATCAAATTAACCAGCATGCTCCCCTGAGTGTTTTAGGCCATCGAATTGGGGTCACGGCGAATTTGGGTCCCAGACGAATTTGGGCCCCGGCGAATTTAGACCTTCGACAATTTTGGCCCCTGGCGAATTTGGGGCCGGTGCGAATTGGGGCCTCTGGCGAATATGGTACCCATGTGAATTAAGTCCCCTGTCGAAGCCGGGTATCCTTCTAGTATCCCATTAAGGATAACATTGTATAGTGTTAGGGGTCTTTAATACAATACTTCGGTCATTATGAGAGAAAGGTGGATCAGAGACCTTTACCCGGACATCGGCGTCTCCAAGTGCCAAGGGTTCTTTCACGTGCACACCAATATACAAGGGACGAACACCGATTTCGGCCCAAACAGAACGCTAAGTACACTTTCCTTATCAGCCTCTCAGGCGCCACACATGAATGGTGAGATTCGCCACTGAGATCTGTTGGTCGTAAGTCCATATTCATGACTGCTCGACCACCACGGAAAAGGACAACAGCAAAAAATGAGTGAGATTTGGATGTCAATGCATGAGTCTTCTAGTGTTCATATTTGATTCGCCACTGAGACATGTTAGTTGTAAACTCATTTTTATGACTGCTCGACAACCACGGAAAAGAACAACAATAACAACATGAGTGTGATTTGGATGCCATAGACGAGTCTCCTATCGTCCATATTTACAGTAAACATTAGTTTACAGAGCTTAAATATATTTGTTCATAATATAAAATCAGTTTTATTTGGATCAATGGAGTTCTCCTATCGACTTTTAACTCATTAAATTATACGTTATATTCCTTCAAGCCAAAACTGTCAGAAGCTTCATACTTAAATAATTTTATTCGCTTGTACAAATGTTGAGTCAGCCAGAGCCAATATAGAATTAATGGAAAGCATCACCTAAAAGGCTAATTTAATACAAATGATAAAAAAAAAATTCCAAAAAAAAACCAACAAAAAAACATACCATTGCCTCGTGTATCTATTTTAAGTCGTTCACTGGTCGACCTGATCTTGTAAAGTTATTAATTGGAAGAAAATAAAAAAATAATCCCGAGAAATACTTCCTTATTGATTATTTTTGATAATAAAAATATTAAAGTGGCCCATCTTAATAAAACTGTCATAGTTGAAGTCTAACCTAGTTATATTGTATATGGTTCGTCTACAAGTCTAGTTACGGGAGCCAGTTTGGCTCGGTCATCAAGACGTTAACATGGAGGCGATCCCATGTTCGATCCCTTTATTGACCGAGAAAGTTTCCCCTTGTAAGTCGTGCAGACAGAGGGCCTGGCAAGGGACAACGTTTAGTTGTTCGGGTCGGACAAAAACCAAGGTCCCGTGTACACATTGGCGTGCGCGAAAAATAACCCTTGGGTTTTCAGTGTTATCTCCCTTTGGCACTTACTTAAGTATTCGGACCTTGTCGGATAGAGTTAACGTATGGGCGCATGTCGACATTTTCCCAGGACGATAACTTACCGCTCGTGCCCAATACTAGCTGGAGCCGCCTAAGCCGACCCGTTAAGAAGGTCAAGATAAGTCGGGGTTAGCAAGCGTTTATATAAACTGAGTTATTTGCGCCACCTTTGCATTCAGAACACAAAATAAACTGTTTTCTTTTTATAAACTACCTAAAGTGTCTGAACGGTATATAGTATATTAAGGAAGCTGAAATTGGTTTTATTGAATCATATGGCCAATTGCTCGGGTTAATTTAATTCCGAAAGCTGGAAATAGGTATGGTATATTTATTCAGATAATGGTATATAATGCAATATTCATAGTAGGTTTATACACTAAACATTTAAACCTAGATCCCGAAGACATGTTATGTAGTACCTCTTCACAACATAACACGGCCAATGTTTTAATATTAAGACTGATATAAGGGTGGGCGGTTGAGTGGTCGAATGATCTAACATGTGCGCTTTAGATCATAAGAAATGAAATGAAATGGGGTTTAACGTCCTACTGTTTTGCTCCTATGCTGGGCTAATGAAGACGGGCATACGCCATACAGTGTGCTG